CCCCCCCCCCCCCCATCCCCCCCTCCCCCCTCCCCCCCACCCCCCCCCCCCCCCTTCCCCCCCCCCCTTTCCCCCCTCTCCCCCCTCTGAGAAGACGACAGCTGCGAGAGGGGATGGACTCCGGTCCTTCTTGGCCATCGAGCGAATCGAAAATGCGTCGCGAATTCCGCGATTCTCGAACCGGCTGTTTCAAGTGGTCCCACACGCTTCTTACCCAATCCTTCTGCGTCCCAAGAGGATAGTTCTCCCTTCCTTTTTTCCTTCACCCTCTGCCAGATGTCACCTTTCCGTAATGGTGTCTCTCGAGGTTAATATTAAGAAGAGAAAAAGCAAGAAAAGGTGAGTTTCGTGAATCATACTGTGGGCCTCAGCCCAAACCCGATACTCAAATATCGAGTCTAATTTTCTCAATGGAATCCACCTAAATAAACAAACCTAACAAACAGACGTTCCCTTTTTTTTAATAACAAACAACAAAATTAATTTGATTAGCAGGTCGCAAACTTCAGGTGTCCCAGGCACATTGGAGTATCAAACTCTTGACAATGTCCACAATTAATTAATGGGCTGAAACGAGTCCTGATGACGACAAGAGATCAGTCGCTCTCAATCCAGCTTCAGTGACTTGGCAGTAATTCATCTCGTCAGCGCACGCAGCGATGTCGCTAAAAAGGGGCAGAGACACTCGGGGTGCAGTCGTTGGCTCGTTCGTGTCACTGTGGTGCCTTCGAAGTTCTTGCAAGCTTCCTAGAACGTCTTTGGAGTTCGGAAGAAATGTTTTCCAGCAATTTCCACTTCTCCATGAAAGAGACTCGTCCGGTCAGATCAGATACTTAGGCAATAAAAAGAAAACATGGCTGTTTTAGAGATAAAGGATAAATGTTTTATAGAGATAAATGTTTTAGAGATATACAGAACGGAGCGTCAACATCCTCACAGGGCGTCCACTCAGGAAAGACTGGAGCGAAAGCATCCCACGTGGGCGGGCAGGGATGCCACGCTGGTGACGTCAGCGGGGGCCGGTCGGGCAGCCTCTCGGGTCGCTTCGAGGCGTTTCGCTTCCCGCCGATCGAGATTGGTGATCGCGGCAGCTTCGAACGCGGCCCACCGATCGCTCCAATCGCGATGCAGTCCGAGTCCGTTCGAGTTTCCCGGCGGTGAATGGTTTTCGTCGGTTCTAGGCTGTCTCAAGTTGAGCAAAATATGCTTCAGTTCGCCGTCTGGAGGATCCAATCGTTGCAAATTGAATTTTCGACTCGTTATTGTACAGGGTGAGTCGAAAATCCTGTCCACATTTTGGACGTTGATGACTTCTCAAGGCTAGATCTGATCAAGTTGTGATTTTCGCCATTCGAAAGACGGTACAATTCTGTATTGAATGCAGGATTTTTTGCATTATTTTCCCAATGGTATCCTTCAGAAATGAAATTTCTATTCCAGGGGTAATACAAAGGTATTGGCACCCGAAAACACGTTGGCGGCACCGTGTCAAATTGCCCGTTCGAGCTATTTGCCTCAGCTGAGGTCAATTCCAATCATGAAGAATCGAGGAAAATGGAACCATTGATAAACGACTTGCAAAAGTTCGGCTTTACTCCTAATGCGACGGGAAACGCTCGACGTTTCAAGAAATTTAATCCGAGACACCGTCAACCGCTAGTCGATCGCCAGTATCGACTGGAATTTTGACAGGAAAGAATCGTCGTAGATCTTCCCGGACGTCCTCTGACACTCGAACCGAAAATTAAACCAGGTGCTGCAAGCATGTTTTCAGGGGCCGACCCAGTTGAATGGCATCCAGAATTGGAATTTAAAATCTAAGGATACCATCAGCAAAATATTGCAAAAATCCTTCCTAAAATACAGATTTGTCTTTCGAACGGTGAAAACCGAATCTCCATTAGATCTGTCGTTGAGAAGTGATTACCGTTCAAACGGTGGGCAGAACTTTTGACTCACCCAGTATAAGTACTCATTATTACCATTGGGACTTTACTGAAGGCCACATTAGACGGATGGGCCGATTAAGATCTCATCTCTATTGGCCGGGACTGGTGCCCCATTGCGACGGCGAAGAACCGTTGCAGCAAATATTTATTCAAATGGGAATATTAGGGAGCCACGATCCGTTTTGAAAGGGCTGTCATGCTGGGTGTTTCGAAAGCTGT